GGTCTGTACTGTACCATGCACCCGAAAACTCGTAACATTTTCGTGCTGCCCTGCTTCCCTGTCCACAGCAGATGCGGTGATGCGTTGTTCGGGAGTGACGACGACGACAACAAGTTGTGCAGCATGACAGCGTGGTCCATTGCTGCTGGCCACTGGTGGTTGGGTAGCCGCATGCCACGTAGCAGTTTGCGCATGCTGTTCTGCAGGGTCCTGTTCAGTCGTTCTGCAACACCTTGCTGCTGATGTGCGTAGGGAAGGGAGAGGAGTTGCTTGATCCCCCTTCCCGCCAAGAACTGCTTGAAGCGCTGAGAGGTGTACTCGCCACCTCCGTCTGACTGGAAATTTTTCAGTTGTGTTCCAGACTCTCTCTCTGCTATCGGTAGCCAGGCGGCGAATGCTGCGAGCGCCATGTCGCGGCTGGGTAGGTTGCGATGCCAGACGTATCGAGTGGCGGCGTCGATGAAGGTGATGGTGTAGTTGTAGTTGACTTGTCCTGGTTCGCGATTGTAGAGGATGTCGCTGTAGACTTTTTCGAGTGGTGCGTACGCTGGAGCGCTCGGGTTGTGATGTGAAGCAAACGGTCGATGAGGTAAGTCAGCTTCGGGACATATAAGGCAAGTCCCTCGTGCCTTCTGGAGTTCTCTGCCATCGGGTAGAAGTAGAGAGTCTTTGTCGAGGGCTCCTGCTCTTATCGTGTTATTCAAAACCGTGTTGCTTGGATGTCCTGTGCGTGCGTGCCAGATCTCTTCAGAGGCGCGGTGTCCAGGTGAACGCTGATATGCGTCGGAGTTGGAGTAAAAGCTGGCGACGAGGTTGGCGCTTCGGTGGACTTCACGTTGAGTCGGATTCAGCTGTTGCGCGGGTGTTGGTGGTGCTTCGTCGACTGTGACTGGTGTCGTTGTTCCTGCTGCTGCTGATGTTGTTGCTGCTGCCGATGTTGTTGCTGCTGCCGATGTTGTTGCTGCTGCCGATGTTGTCGTCTCTGCTTCTTGTTGAATCGTTGCTAACGCTCTTGTTCGCTCTGCTTCAGGGATAGTGTGGGAGTACCAGAAACCTCCCGGGCTGAAGTCGGGGTCGAGATCCGGAGGGTGTGTCCAATCAGCAAAGTTCACAATGGCGTCGCTGTCTGCAGTGCCGAGGTCGGGAGCGAAGTCGAGGACGAAGACGTTGTTCTTCAGCACTGCTTTCCCGATGTAGAGACCGCCTCTCCCGTGGTAAAGCTTGAACTCCTGGGTCGTGCTGTCGGCTTCCAGATGAATTCCTTTCGCCATCAACTGGCTAACGCTCAGTAAGTTGTAGCCGAGTCCTTCAGCGATGAGTACCTTAGACATGTGCAGTATGACATTTGTTTCTCTTGACTGAAGCTGTACCACTCCTTGTCTTCGTGTGCGCAGGTTTTGGTTGTTGGCAACCGTGATGATCACTTCCCGCTGGAGTCGATGTTCGCGTTGTACGAAACGCCCGGACGAGCACATGTGTTGCCCGCAGCAACTGTCCAAGAACCAGGTGTCTTGGCCGGACGGTTCACTTTGAGCGATAGCGGCGTAAGTCGGATTTGGATGGAGTGATTCGCGACGAGGCGTTCTGTTGTCGAGCTCCTCTTCCGGTGAGTAATGGGGTGGTGACTCTGTTATGCAAGAGTCGTTTATCTTGACCATGCAGTTGACTATATGTCTTGCTCCTTGCGCAGGTTGTCCAGTTGAGGTTGTTGAAGCTTGAATCGTGGTTGTCGAGCTTGCTTGTGTCGAAGCAACTTGGGTGCTTGAAGGCCGCAGTTGTCGCTGTGGTGTTGTCTGTCGAGACGGGCAGTGCGTGCGTGGGTGTCCTGATGTCTTGCAGATGTGACAAAATGGAGGTACTAGCTTTGGCTGCTGCTGTCGATTGTTGTAGTAGTTGTGTCGTCGCTGAGTATGGAAAGCAAACTCCGGTGCTAATGTCCTTTTCTTGTGTCTTTCTTCTTGCAGGTCCATATCCTGCTGCTCGGCGTGAATTTCTGCGCAAAGTGCCGCTTCGGAGATCCTCCCGTGTGCTCGAAGAATTGCTTTGGTGGCGCGCCACTGAGGACCGAGGCCGCCGATGACGACTGTTACGAAGGCGTCTTCAGAGATTGACCCTCCACATCGAAGAAGCTTGTCGCGCAATTCGCGACATCGGCTGATATACGCCAACCCTTTTTCTCCTGGTTTCATTTCAACTGTTGTCAGCTGCGCCATTAACCTGCTCTGGTTTACACTGTCTGTTGCCTGGTACAGGTTCTTCAGATGGCCGTACGCGAGTTCCGCCGAGTTGCCGAAGTTCCGGTAAGAGCGAATGTTCTGCTGCTGGGTTGGTGTGATGTTTCTCAGTAAAATAGTATACGCCATCATGGATTGGTACGTATACTGCTGCTTTTCATACTGTGTCCCGTTTGCTGGATACTGCAGGGATCCGTCGAAGAAGCCGAGTATCTGCGCGCCCTCCATCATCAACTCGAATTCAAAGGACTAGGTAAAGAAGTCCTTTCCGTCGAAAGGTCTTGACGTCTGTAGTTTCAGAACATGCGCGAACTGCGACTGTACTTGTAAGGCATCCATTGGTTTGTCTTGCGCAGGTGGAGGTTGAGGCAGGAAGCTGATCGACCCGCGTTCGTACGGGGCGAAGGTGGGTTGCTGCTGTTGATTCCCTCGCGCGTATGACGACCCGTCAAGGCTCATGGGTGTCGCTCCGTTGTTGCTGTTGTGTGTCTGTGCAGGTCCCGACTGCTGGTGTTGCTCGTAGAAGGACATGAAGGAGAAAAATTTCTCCATCATGCTCTGGTCGAAGTCAGAAGGATGGTTCGTGGGGGTCTCGGTTGACGTTCCCCTTGGTCTTGCTGTCGCGCCTTCCTCTGTCTGCAGGCCAGAGGCTGGCGGTGGAGTAGGAGTAGTGCCCGAGGAGCCATTAGGGGAGCTCCTTTCCTTGTTTGTTGCCATGTCTTTGTAATGATCAAAAGTTAGAGTTTTCCCCTGTCAGCTCTCATACCATGTTGGGCTGAAAAAATAGCCCTTAGGATCTTTTGCAGATGAAAACTCTTGGGTAGGAAACTTGTAATAGCGGAAGCGTTTAATGAGGATTGTGAACCGACCTTGCACTGGTGTGTGAGAGCAAAGTAGATTGAATTAAACAAGCAAATACAAGGATTTATATAAGAGTACAGGGAATACGAATAGATAGATAGATAACTGTATTGCTGTTGCGGTTCGATACAGTGCGACTCGGGCAGCTGCTCTGTAACGAGTTCAGTTGTGTGTCCTTAACTGTCGCGCTGTAATTGTCGAGTCAAAGGTCAGCGACCTTTGACTTTCTCGTAACCTCCAGGCGGTTAACCTAACCTCCGAGGTTGACTCGATGCTTCGATTGGAACTGCTTCGCTTGGTGCCTTGGATTTTGATACGACAGAAGCGCACTTAGGACTTATTGTTTCCAACAATTCTCTCAATCTGCTCCATTTTCTCACTCTCATGTTCTCCCCGAGCCCCACATCCCCCCAGGCACCAGCACCAGCAAGGCCTCTGTCACGATTCAAGCAGCGCCGGGCAGGTCAACCGTGACACAACTCGCGTTTGAGCCTGTTCTGCTCCTTTCCAGCAACCCCCGCTACTCATCTTCCGTTTCTTTCTCACTACCGTATGTCAGCTTCGTGTTTGCGATCAGATCTGCTTGATTGTATGGTCACACAGTGCAGTGCAGCTTCATCCGTTTCATGCATGAAAGCATGCCATTCCAAAGTTGCCACAATTGCAACATCATTGTTTGCGAAACATGCAGCTTCCTTGCAAGCAGAATGATTGGTTCCAGGGCCTCAGATTCGTTTTGAGGTTGGCTGATTGATAAATGTTAGTACACAAAAAAGGCTGAAAAAACAGTGCCACCGAAAAAAAAAAGCCGGACTTCTGGTTCTGGGGGCGTGGCTGTATGGCAGAAGTTTGATGAGAAGAAAAAAAGGTTTTGCTATGGAGGGAAGAGAACAAGTACTGTACAAACAAGATAGGGCACGGCTGCAAGGTGCACCACCAGAAGGATGGTACTCTACAGACTGGTACAGACAACCATACAAATATATAGAAGACATTTCTGACAAACTATTACGAAGACAATCCCACGGAAACAGGAAAACAAGATTTTTTTTTACCTCTTGCAACAGAAGAGGTTCCTTACAAGGCAGCACCCAAGGGAGGTCGATGCTGAGCACGCTGGGATCAAGGCTAGGCGAGGTGCAACCTCACTCGCCTATCCCATCAGCCCTCCGCTGCCGCTCCTCCCAGCGCTGCGCCCCACAGGAAAGAGTGAAGGAAATGCGATGGAATGTGCAGCATGGAAGAAAGATTTGTCAGCAGAGTATATTAGGCTCCTGTGTCGTTTGCTGTAGGCGAAGGTTGATGGATGGAAAGGGGAGAGATCAAGACAACTGTGAATGCATGTTATCGAAACGGCAAGGGGTGTGACTTGTGCTGGGTCACACGCTTCTGTAGGGAGTTGGGGAGAAAGATGGCTAGAAAAAGGGAAACGAATACCGACCACTAACTCACCGTATTCGGCGATTCAGGCACCCCGTCACCTGGCCTGCCCTCCTCGGCGCATACAGCTGTTCCTCTTCAACATGTATCCCTGCTTGCAGCGGCACACTGAGTGGCCGTCCACCACCACACACTCAGCCTTGGCTTTGCATGCACGCTTGCACACAGCTGCAGTAGGAGCGAGGTCAGAGGGGAGAGGTCAGAGGGGCGAGGACAGAAGGGCGAGGTCAGAGGGGAGAGGTCAGAGGCACGAGGTCAGAGGGGAGAGGTCAGAGGGGCGAGGTCAGAGGGGCGAGGTCAGAGGGGCGAGGTCAGAGGGGCGAGGTCAGAGGGGCGAGGTCAGAGGGGCGAGGTCAGAGGGGCGAGGTCAGAGGGGCGAGGTCAGAGGGGCGAGGTCAGAGGGGCGAGGTCAGAGGGGCGAGGTCAGAGGGGCGAGGTCAGAGGGGCGAGGTCAGAGGGGCGAGGTCAGAGGGGCGAGTAACCGGCAGAGGAGACGAGGGAGAGGGAGAGACTGAATGTTGAGACATGAGAACATGCTGAATGTCAAAACACGGAGCGCACATGACATATGAGTGGAGCGCAAGTGCAAGATGGCACGCGCAGGGCTGAGAACACTGTAGGTGCCGATGAATCTGAGGAAGCTGTGAGATTGAGTTGCAGTTGAAAGTGAGATGAAAGTGAGAGGAAAGTGAGAGGCCATGAGTAAGTCAAGCCACGGTGCCAGGCCGAGAGAAAAGCAAGTCAAGGGCATGTGAAACACAAGGGCATGTGAAACACAAGGGCATGTGAAACACAAGGGCATGTGAAACACAAGGGCATGTGTAACGCAACGGCATGTGTGATACAAGGGCATCACTCGCACATCTCCCCCGGTACTCACCCTTGCACTGGCCGTTGCTCAGCAAGGTGTACCCCGCGCTGCACCTGCACACGCCAATCCCATTATCCACCTGGCAGGTGGTCTCCCCAGAGCATGGCGGGCTGCATGCGGCTGTCACAGTGTGGGCAGAGGGGCGAGCGAGGCATGGAGGAGGACAGAAAAAGAGACAGCATTGAGTGGAGACGAGAAGGGAAGGAGAGATGGAGATGATTGGCAGGACAAGAAGAAGAAACAACGATGAAAGACAACGAGGACATGGACAGCGATGAACAACGATGATGGATGACGACAGGCTGTCACAGATACACCAGGGTAAGCCCATATCTCAGTGTGATGACCATGCAGTGAGAGAGGAAGAGACATATTCATGAGAGACAAATGGTAAGAAAGGTACCGTCATACCCCGGATATAAGCGCCACCCTCGGATAAGCGCCTGGCGCTTTTAATTGGTGCATGGCGCTTATATCCGCTGCTCGATTATAAACGCACCCCCTGGAAAAACGTGTTTTATTATAAGCGCACGTAAACTTTTAATTTTTGAAATGTGTTCAAAACTCTGTAATGATATCTACTTTAGCAGGCGAATGTTTTGCAGATTCAGTTCCCTTCACATTCGGACCCTGCACTGGATGCGGGTCCAGTCAGCATGAGCTGTCAGGAGCTGTCAGGAGCTGGCTGTGAGTCAGATTGGGTGTATCTCCCAGCGCGCGCGAGAATTTCACAGACGACCCCATGTAACTTCGACTAATTGAAAAGGCAAGCACGAGATCTACAGCTTGGTGTTAAAAAACATAAATATATATATATATGTATGTCATTTTATAAACGCCGGCGCTTATAAATTTACTCGATTATAAGCCCACCCCCAAAAAAAAACCTGTTTTATTATTGCCCCCCATGGGGGTATATCCGGGGTATGACGGTATGCCAATTCACCCCCAGGCACTCACGAGTGCACTCGCCGTTCCCCAGCATGGTGTAGCCAGCATCGCACTTGCACCCCGCCGTGCCATTGTCCACCTGGCAGGAGGCGTAGAGGGAGCATGCTGGGCTGCACACGGCTGGCACAGGCCGGGTGGGTGGGATGAGAGGGGCAAGAGGCATGTTGGGAGCACGATGAGTGGAATGGTAGTAGAAGGGCGAGCGAGATTGTCAATGTGATTAAACAGCAGTAGGAGGAAGATGAAGAGACGGAGGATGAGAAAGAGGAGGAGAGGCAATAACAATTCACGACATGTGATGAAATGGAGAGGAGATCAGTGAAGAGTGTGATGTGTGACATAGTGAGAAGAGTGTGATGTGTGACACAGTGAGTTGAGCAAGAGGTGAGATGAAGGTGAGGAGGGAGTGCGATGGATGTGAGATGTCTTAGAGACGCCACCCACTTCCTGCGTCACCTCACCACTGCACACGCCGTCCATCTCAGTGTACCCGCCACGGCACTCGCACACCCCTTGCCCGTTCCTTGGCACGCACTGCCGGTTGCCCTCGCACACTCTTCCACCACAGGGGTCAGCAACTGGGGCGTTCATGCGTGGGGCAACACGGAGGGGGACACGGTTGCGAGAGCGTCACGGTTGTGAGAGCGTCACGGTTGGGAGGGCTTCATGGTTGGGAGGGCTTCACGGTTGCGAGAGTGTCACGGTCGCGAGAGCGTCACGGTCGCGAGAGCGTCATGGTTGCGAGAGCGTCACGGTTGCGAGAGCGTCACGGTTGCGAGAGCGTCACGGTTGCGAGAGCGTCACGGTTGCGAGAGCAGGTAGGGCGAGAGCGGGTTGAGATCGGGAGTGAGAATAAGATGAGACCAATAACCTTCCACCTAGGGATGCTCATGATTGAAACCAACCACTTGCGGTGAAGGAGGTGGCACTCTTGGCAGCGAGCGATGAACGAGAGCCGCGTGTGAGTGTGGCATGAGCAAGGTGCGAGAGGAGAGTAAGACAAGCGAAGGGCGCGACTCAACCCCAGGGCAACCACTCACTTCCCGTCACCCAGGCCACTCACGCGTGCACGTGCCGTTCCCCAGCATGGTGTAGCCGGTACCGCTCTTGGGTTCAGCGCCTGGGTTGCCTGTGCGTGGAGAAGTATGGAGGGAATTAGAGTTGTGAGATTGTGGTTATGTGTAGCGAAGTGGCATGATAAACGGTGAAGCAAGCCGTGATGTGACCGGGGCATGGGACGCTGATCCACTGCTAAGCAACAGCCAACCCTTACTCACACCCCAAGGCGCCTATTAAACACCCAGCAAGAAACCATTGAGCCACCTCAAGCACTCTAGTCTTCAGCTCACCAGTGCAGGCGCCACTGAACTCAGTGTACCCCGCCTTGCACTTGCACACCCCTTCCACGCACTCCCTATTGCCCTCGCACGCTCCACCACAGGGGTCAGCGACTGGGGCGCTCGTGTCTGGAGAAGCGGGAAACAAATAGGAGAGGAGGAAGCGTGCACACAGTTAACACGACAGACGGTGGGGTTGAGAGTGAGAGTAAAGCGAGGTGGATGTGACAGCGACATTGAGAGTGTGAGAAGTGAGAGTAATAGTGAGAGTACTGTGAGAGTGAGAATGAGGGCGAAAGCGAGCGAGAGTGTGTGTGAGTGTGTGAGGCTGAGTATGTGAGAATGTGAGGAAAAAAAATAGACAAACAAATAGCGTGAGTGAGAAGAGGTGAGACGTGACAGTCAGATTGAGTGAGTGTGAGGGTGTGTGTGAGCGACCCACCTGTTGCGCTCCCACCACCGGTCGAGCCACCTGTTGCGCTCCCACCACCGGTCGAGCCACCTGTTGCGCTCCCACCACCGATCGAGCCATCTGTTGCGCTCCCACCACCGGTCGAGCCATCTGTTGCGCTCCCACCACCGGTCGAGCCATCTGTTGCGCTCCCACCGCCGGTCAAGCTCCTGTCAGCCGGTCAAGCTCCGGTCAGCGGTCGGTAACAGATATGAACGACGATTGAAAGAGGCGATTGAGCCGATAACGAGAGCAGAAGTGAAATGAGAGCGGGAGAGGAAGTAGAAAGTGTGCGTTTGAGGTTGAGGTGAGTTGGGATTGAGGTGATATAGGGGTGAGGAGAGTGTGTGATGCCACAACAACCGTCGAGGCACCTCACGCGCTGCCTCCTTCAGCTCACCAGTGCAGTCGCCATTGATCTCAGTGTACCCCGCCTTGCATTCGCACTCTGGTTCGTTGTTCCTCACAATGCACTGCCGCCACTCGTCCTCGGCATCGCAGTTGAAGTTGTCACAGGGGTCAGCGTCGTCCTCGCCTGGAGAAGCACGGAGGAAGTCAAGTCAAAGTTTTGCGACAGTCATGATCTGTATCTGACTCTCTGCCTATCTGTCTCTCGCCCCCACCAGCACACAGGTACAGAAAGGGAATAAGGGCGGAGAGATGATGGAGAAATGCAGGCGATCAGCAAGAGAGATGGTGAGGTGAGAGTGATAGGGGTGTTAGGGTTCGCGTGAGAGTGAGGCAAGAGGGATGTGCATGCTGACCCCCGCAGTTTTCGCAGCGCACGCAGACGACTCCAAAGTCCTTCCACTGGCACCGCGAGCCCGGCGGACAGTGCGCACAGGTGCTTGGGGCGGGCAGTGCGCACAGGTGCTTGGGGCGGGCAGTGCGCACAGGTGCTTGGGGCGGGCAGTGCGCACAGGTGCTTGGGGCGGGCAGTGCGCACAGGTGCTTGGGGCGGGCAGTGCGCACAGGTGCTTGGGGCGGGCAGTGCGCAAAGGTGCTTGGGGCGGGCAGTGCGCACAGGTGCTTGGGGCGTCTGGTGTGCACGCAGGGGGGAGGGGCGGGAAGGGAGGGAGAGAGGGACGAATAAGGGGAGCGAATATCAGAAGGTAAGAGGCAGAGAGTGAGATGCAATGGAGACGAGGATGCCCCTCGACCCCGCAACAAGGAACACGCAATTAGCTCACCACTGCAAACGCCTCCCCGCAAGGTGTAGCCCTGATCACAGTCGCACACGCCTTCCTTACCCCTCACCACGCAATGCGCGTTCTCAACACACCTTCCCATCGCAGGGGTTCCGCTCTGCCGAGGGGCAGCGCGTGGAAGCAAGCAGGGAAGGGGTTCAAAGCAGGTCAGCGTGGGGCGGGAACGTGGGATATAGGGGACAAGCCTCGAGCACCCAACTAGCGCGTCACAACAACCCCCCATCTTAGTGTAGCCCTCCCAGCACTTACCGATGCAGTGTCACCCATAATGAAAGCAAACGGATTCAGGAGGATGCAGATGGATGGTATGGGTATGATGGTGATGGTTAGCAGCGCTCAGCTCACCACTGTACTGCATTTGAGCGCCCACCTTTGCATGTGGTGGTGGCGGAGTCAAAGACGAGATCCCCCGGGCACACGCACTGCGCTGCCTTGTCCTTGACAGCACACACAGCCATCCCACAGTCCTGCTTGCATGCTTCAGTGGCATGGCATGGAGGGATCGAATTCAAAAGGTGGGAGAGGATGGGAGGGAAAAGGGCAGTGGTTGTTGGAAAGAAGGGGGAACATGTCTCCCCGGAAAAGCAACTCCGTGTTCGAATGGCAGAAGCACGGCCTTGGTTGGCACGACGGATAACGCGCTCGCTCTTCATGACCATCATGCACACCGCGCCTCACCCATGCCTTGTTGTGCTGCTTACCATGCACTGATCCCTCAAGGAGTTGTGAAATGCTTCTTGCGACGCCAACGAACCCACGCACAGCACAACAGTGAACGCTTCTTTCTAATTACAGCCAGCTTGCAGCCGAATCGGTTAAATCAAGTTGGTTTCTACCCTAGCAACCACACAGCACTCACCGCGGCACTGCTTGTCAGCGGCACTGTAGGCTTGAGCGCCGGGGCACACGCACTGGGATTGGCCGCCTCTCACGGTGCACACCGCCACTGACCTGCAGCTCACAGCCCCCCCCGCAGGGCAGTCTTTCGCGCACCGTGGGTCGTTGGGGAGGGAGGGGCGGCGGGAAGCGGGATGCGAGGTGAGGGGGGTTGAGGAAAAGGGGGAGTATGGGATGAAGAGTCGATTAATCCAGTCCAGGATGAACAGATGAGTAGAACACTCGCATCATGGCATGCTGCACTCACCCAACTCGCATCATGGCATGCTGCACTCATCCAACTCGCATCATGGCATGCTGCACTCATCCAACTCGCATCATGGCATGCTGCACTCATCCAACTCGCATCATGGCATGCTGCACTCACCCAACTCGCATTTGACCGATGCAGGCAGCTGGGCAGCAGGGATCCGCCTGGCGGCAGCGAGAGGGCGAGAGTGGGCAGGGAGGGCGAGAGGAGAGGTGAGGAGTCACCCCGTTCCTGACGTGTTCACGAACGAAACAAGAGGCAAGTAACGGGGAAAAGAGCAAATGAGAACAGCTGCTGGGAGGAAGAGTGGGCGTCACCAGGCGGATCTTTCTCGGTAGTCAGCGGGGCGGACGAGCGTGCGGAACGGACTCCCCCCGCACCCGTCCGCGGGGTGGAAGGCCAGGCTGCGGCAAATGGGCGGCGCGTAGCGCGGGTCTTCCCAAGTCACGTTCAAGTCCGCATTGGCAGGCAGCGCCGCCAGTTCTGGCACAGGGACTGGTGGAACATCATCAACTGGTCCGTGGGCTCCCAGGCGACGGGGTTCTCCGGCATGTCGTATCTGATAAACGCGATCGTCATGCTGGGCTTGCGACTCGCTGCGCCGTTCGCGGCCGCCAATAGCACGGCTGCGACGAGCGCGACGCTCGCCGCCACGCGGAACGCGGATCGCGGAGCAGCATGAGCGCGGCGCTGCATGGCGACGGCGGAGATCGGCGACGGCGGAGATCGTCGACGGCGACGGAGATGGGCGGGCGATGGCGAGTGCAGCGGGAAGCAAGGTTGAGGGGCCGCCCTCGTGCGTGGTACGCGACGGTGCCGCCCGCGCTGGTGGTGGTTACTAGGCGCGGCGACGGCCATTGGTGTGGCGCCCACGCGCGTATGGTACGGCGGGCGAACCGGTGGGGGCGGGACGATAGCAGCAAGCACGACGCGGCAGGCGTCGTGAAGCGCAGAGGACGGGACCTCGAGGGATGATGAAGCGCGAAGAAGGGAGAAAAGTATGTGGCGATAGCGCGTGTTGACGAGATATGGAGTGAATGCGGTGAGCGCTGGGTCGCTTGTGGCGGTGAGCGCTGGGTCGCTTGTGGCGGGAGAGAGCGAGAATAAGGGCGTGTCTCTTTTTTGCTTTTATGGATTTTGACGGACTGTCCGGTTGTATGTAAACGGACAGTTGCAATAGCGAGTTTCGGACAGTCCGATTCAAAATTTCGAAACATTGGACAGTACGAAGGAAAAAGCATCACTTTCCCGAGTGCATCAGTATTCCGAAGTATTGTAGCATCGCCAAGCATCGTACACTCACATAACCTCAGTCACACCCCATCGCCAACTTCGCATAGCCAGGTCGCGGCTCGATGCCCCCTGAAAGCCAATCGTCAACCTTCTACGGAGGCTATATGACACCAATTCAGGTTGGGTAGAGGTACTAGGGACGGAGGTCTTGGGTGTGGTGTTTGCCGGTCCATAGTTCTCATTTCCGCTGGACTGCTCCATTGCGTGCTGTGCTGATTGTGGTGGTTCGGTTCGAAATGGACTCGTCTTTGTAGTGTAGCAGGGGTAGTGGGGGTGTCTACGGTTCAATGTTCTATTTGGCGCCGCGCGCCCAAAATTTTGTTGGAGATGCGGCTCGGTGTTTTTTTTCGCTTTTTCGTGCTCCAATCAGATGTCAGAGATGGAGCTCCGTCCGTTTGCTTTTCGAACTGACAAAGGTCCACATTGTGAACCGTTGCTTGGAGGGAAAAGTGATGTGACGTTTCGAACAGTGGGCGAAATCGCGAAGACCACCGCGAAAAAGTTGCGAATTAATGCGAAAAAGGTAACTTTTTCGCGAGCCGGACGATCCACGGTTCGAACCGTCAGCGTCAAAAACGAGACACGCCCTAAGTCACCATGTGAGGGACGCCGCGAGGCAGGCGACGGGAGACGCGCGATGGGAGGAACGCGAATGGAGGGGTGTGGGCGAATCCCTTACAAAATCCAAACCACCTGATGGCGCAACGAAATGGGCGCAAGAGTGGTTACACTACCGCACGAAAGCGACGTCGCAACCACTGTTCTACAGTATTTGTATATAAACTTTGTTGTTGACACTTCGGTGTAATTCTGACAAGCAGAAAGTCAAAATGGCTAAGTCAAAATTCTATATGGTTTGGCTCATAACTCCATAATTTGTTGGTCATTTGCACACAAATATGAATTTCCAGCATCTCCTTGGTGTCCTCTACCAGCGGGAATGAGGTTGTTAATTTGTCAAATTTGTTACATTTTGTCACTTTTAGGTCAACTAAGGTTGCTCGTAGCACATGTAAAGTCATTCTCTGGGCATCACAAACATGTGTTATGTGGTGACCATATTTTTTTGCATTGTTAGTGTTATGACACCTGTTCCAGCCCCCCCTGAACATTTTCAGCTATATGCAAACTGATTTGGTGGACTTCTTGCAAGGAAGTTAGTGCTGAGTTGCCTGCTGTTATGTGTCTGGTGAAATCACCCACTTCTCCTTGGGCAAATGAGCCCATTTTGATAGGGCACTGTCATAACACCTATTCCTGATCCCTATCCAGTTTTCACTTCATTTCATCAAGGTTTGCCATGCTTTTCATGTTATATTCTGCAGGCGGGTGCAGAAATCTGTGCAGAAATGCCTGGAACCATGTTTCTTGTGAAATCAACCACTTTGCCTTGGGCAACTGATCTGATTTTCACAGGGGACACTCATAACAAATATCCCAGACCCCCACCTGAAATTCACCTTATTTGCCCAAGGTTTGATATGGTTTTTAAGCCTTGTTGTGCAGCAGTCTGCAGAATTCTGTGCAGAATTGTCAGGAATCAGGTTTCAATTGTGATCACCCACTTCTCCTTGAGAAAATGAGCTGATTTTTATAGGGGACTTTCACCACACATATTCCAGACTCCCACCTGAAATTCACCCAATTTACCCAAGGTTTGATATGTTTTTTAAGCCTTGTTGTGCAGCAGTCTGCAGAATTATGTGCAGAATTTCCTGGAATCAGGTTTCAATTGAACTCACCCACTTTTCCTTGAGAAAATGAGCTGATTTTTATAGGGGACTCTCAAAACACATATTCCAGACCCCCACCTGAAATTCACCTCATTTACCCAAGGTTTGATATGTTTTTTAAGCCTTGTTGTGCAGCAGTCTGCAGAATTCTGTGCAGAATTTCCTGGAATCAGGTTTCAGTTGAAATCACCCACTTTACCTTGAGCAAATGAGCTGACTTTTATAGGGGACTCTCACCACACATATTCCCGACCCCCACCTGAAATTCATCTAATTTACCCAAGGTTTGATATGTTTTTTAAGCCTTGTTGAGCAGAAGTCTGCAGAATTCTGTGCAGAATTTCCTGGAATCAGGTTTCAATTGAAATCACCCACTTCTCCTTGAGCAAATGAGCTGATGTTTATAGGGGAATCTCAACACACATATTCCAGATCCCCACCTGAAATTCATCTCATTTTCCCAAGTTTTGATATGGATTTTAAGCCTTGTTGTGCAGCAGTCTGCAGAATTCTGTGCAGAATTGCCTGGAATCAGGTTTCAATTGAAATCACCCAATTCTACTTAAGCAAATGAGCTGATTTTTATAGGGGACTCTCACCACACATATTCCAGACCCCCACCTGAAATTCATTTCATTTTCCCAAGGTTTGATATGGATTTTAGGCCTTGTTGTGCAGCAGTCTGCAGAATTCTGTGCAGAATTGCCTTGAATCAGTTTGCAGCTGAAATCACCCACCTATCCCTGAGAAAATGAGCTGATTTTTAAAGGGAACTCTCATCACACATATTCCAGACTCCCATCAGAAATTCATATTATTTGCCCAAGGTTGGATGTGGTTTTTAAGCCTTCTTGTGCAGCAGTCTGCAGAATTCTGTGCAGAATTGCCTGGCATCAGGTTGCAACTGAAATCACCCACTTCTCCTTGGGTAAATGTGCTGATTTTTATAGGGGACTCTTAGCACACATATTCCAGACCCCCACCTGAAATTCATCTAATTTACCCAAGGTTTGATATGTTTTTTAAGCCTTGTTGTGCAGCAGTCTGCAGAATTCTGTGCAGAATTGCCTGGCATCAGGTTGCAACTGAAATCACCCAATTCTCCATGGGCAAATGAGCTGATTTTTATAGGGGACTCTCACGACACATATTCCAGACCCCCACCTGAAATTCACGTCATTTTGTAGACGTTTAGTAAGTTTTTAATGCTCTTCTCTGCAGGCGGGAGCTGATCACTTTTGTGAAATGTACAACATTTGTTTTGTATTTAAATGCCACTGTTATACGGGTGCTAATGATAGGGCACTCATCTCACACTTATAGGATTATCCGTTTTAGAATTGGGTGTGCTAATCATGCAAAGTTCATGCTTGTGTTTGTTTTATGGGTTACAAAAACTAGTACTATACGTGCTACGCGAGTACCCCTATAGCGGTACTCTCGGATATAGGGTGTCATTCGGTTTCTGACACGTGTGACAGGTCGCAGAGACTGCTCTATTTTGACGTTGCGGAGGGAACCATGCGGATGGGATATTTATACGTGGCAGCCTGTCATGAACCTATCACAGGATACCATTCTTTTATTTTAGGGGCTGCCCGTCACCATTTCGTACAAGGTCGAGGCAAAGCTGAGACCATGCAATCCACCGCAGAACATGCAATATGCTAACATGGCATGTAAGGTTGGCAATCAACCAACCAGCAACTGAAGTAGAACATTTAGGAGAACAATCTGGCGACAAATAGGCCAATCATTGCAGAAGGATGCAAAGAGTAGTTCGCAGATGTTTGAAGGGAAACGGTGAGAAGCCTAATATTTTGATTTAGGGGGCAGAAAATTCTTACTACGCCTGGCGTTTGTAGCAAAGCCTTTCCCACCTTCTGTGAGGACGAGAGCACAACCTTCTGTGAGGACGAGAGCTCAACGTCATTCTCGCCATTCCAATCTGAGTCTAGGTTCCACAACTAGCCTCACAAGCTTCCCTCTCATTCTAGTGTCGGCCTCAAATCCTGCAGGCGGACAGTGTATGGTAGTAACCGTGTAGCTACCTGGCATCTTCTGGCATACTTACGCGATGTCGTCCCAGCTAATCACAGACGGCTGCGGATTGTCTGTACGACTAGGGCGGGAGTCTTATGAAAGGTTAATCGCTCGTCAGGAAGAGTGGAACGAGGCGTTGTTACTTTTCGGCCTTGTGTATGTATCCAAGCGCGGTTTGTAACGCACGCCGACTTCATCGGCACGTTGAACCCTTGTTTTTTTAGACAGGCACCTGCGATCTTCTTACCTCTGCGACATGTCGGCTTGGATGCAGGGAGGTTGCCAAGGACAAGATTGGGGATCCTCGCGTTCGCAGGGACATAAAGATTCTGGCTTCTACTGAGCATCGGCGTTTGAGGTCTGCCGTCCCGCGTGTCCCCAGTTGTGGCAGCGAACATCGGTCGCTGTTGGACTACCAGATGGTTTTAATACCCATGATATCAGAGTGAGTTTCCTGACATGGATCCGCAGCGTCTGTCGATGACACCAGCTTATCTTGCTAATCCAAACTTCGATGTACCGCAGAGTCCCTGTTGTTCACTCGACGGCGATCAGTCTCATGGTGCTGATGAACCCGCAAGATTTGTTAGCACATCCCCGCGGAGAGTACCGTACGCGTGTGCTACACTTCGACCCTAAATCTGCAATCCCAACCCATCGCCACAGCGACCATGCCAAGGAGGTGTTCGAGTAAGTATCACTCCTTAATCAGATGTGCGGTTTGTATGGACGCATGTTATTGATTATTTGCGACCCCCTTGCCCTGCAGCTGGCTTATTCGACAACTAGATGTGGAATACAGCCGAGGTCGCAGGGTCTCTGGCAGCCACGCCGAAGCGGTGCAGAAAGATTTGAGGGCTCGCCTAGATGATCTGATTCTGGAGGAAGGCAGGGTAAGGAGCCTCTATTTTTATGATTTCAACGTTGTATCAAATTAAGCTTGTAAAAAGTTACGGGAGTGTCTGACAACCACCTTTTCACGCACATGTTGCAGATCAACAAGGTTCAGGGACAGAGGCAAGTGGGTTCCGGGCTGCACGTAACCCATCTGTTCAGCAAGTTGCTGGACAAATGGGGGGATGTCATGGCGATTCAAACTGTAGAGCCGATGATGGCCTTAGGGAAGGGGAAAAACAGCGCGAAAAAAATTCGGAGTATGCTGGAGTCGACCTACAGGGCCTTCTTCGACCTGCAAGGAGTCCAGCTCCGTCCCGCCCCGGATGCAGTCATGACGACCCATGAGGCTCGAGTGGTAGAGAGCGCACCGGAACGGTCCGGGAATACCATGGAGCCGGCGGCACAGAACAGATCCGAAGCGGTAGAGGGACAGAGAGACGTACCTGCCGCAAACCGGGACGCAAATCCAAGAGTGGGGGAAATTTCATATTCCCGCCGACCTGCACCAGGGGGTGCACTACTGAGTGGCCCGACATCAAGGTCAGCCCGTGCGGACGAGCGTGCTAGGTCTGGAGTTAGGCAGCTCAGGTTTGCTGATCGGGTTAGGAGGCCGCCGGAACGCGAAGCACGGACGGAGATCGACTTGGCAAGTGTAGCAGATGAAGGCGAGGAGGGTGTAGAAGATCCACAGCTGCCAAGTCAGGTAGAACAGGCAGAGGAGCAGTGGAGGAAGGCGGCTGATGATAAGCGGATGGGCGAAGCAGAAGCCAAGAGGAGACGGGCTGAAGAGATGCAACGGCGCAGTGATGGCGACACCGATCCTACCGTCTCTTTCCCGGGAACTGGAGACATACGTGAAGCATGGGAGCGTGGGGCACGAGCCGCTGCAAGGGCACACGTGGGAGAGGCAGGAGAGGAGCTCGCCAGTAATGCGCGGCAGCATATCGAGGAGGATAGGGGATACGTGGAAGTTCGCTTGCCCAGCGTAAAGCGGAAGGCGGCAGAAGAGGCCCGGAGAGGGGACGTCGACGTGGCAGAGAATTCGGGAGAGGCGAAAAGGAAGGCGCAGAGCAACGCGGGTGCAAAGGCTCATAAGATGGCGGAGGTAGAGGTGGACCAGAATGCAGAGGATGCGGCCCATCGGTTCGTCGATGCAGAGGCGGCACTTACGGCAGAGGACGGGACGCCAAAGGAAGCAGAAGCTGCGGCGCAGCAGAAGGTGGGTGCAGAGGCGGTCATGAGTGCAGAGGCAGTCGCGCGTAAAGAAGCGGGTGCAACAGCAGAGCTGACGTCGGAGGCAGTCGAGCTGCAGGTGGTGGAGGCAGTGGCGCAGAAGGAATCAGAGGCAACGACGAGCCAGAAGGATGAGGCAGCGGCACAGCAGAAGGAGGAGGGTGCGGCGCCGAAGATGGTTGAGGCAGAGGCGCAGAAAGAATCTGATGCAGCGGCGCAGCAGAAGGAGGAGGGTGCGGCGCCGAAAATGGTTGAGGCAGAGGCGTAGAAGGAATCTGATGCAGCGGCGCAGCAGAAGGAGGGTGCGGCGCCGAAAATGGTTGAGGCAGAGGCGCAGAAGGAATCTGATGCAGCGGCGCAGCAGAAGGAGGGTGCGGCGCCGAAGATGGTTGAGGCAGAGGCGCAGAAGGAATCTGATGCAACGGCGCAGCAGAAGGAGGAGGGTGCGGCGCCGAAAATGGTTGAGGCAGAGGCGCAGAAGGAATCTGAGGCAGCCGCGCGGCAGAAGGCGGAGGCAGAGGAGCAGAAACAGGCTGCGGAAGAGGCACTACAACTGGCTCGGGCAGAAGCGCGGAAGAAGGCTGTTGTAGAGGCGCGGCAGAAGGCGGAGGGTGAGGCGCAGAAGATGCTAGAGGCCGAGGAGCAGAAGCAGGCTGAGGCTGACGGACGTAGGAAGCCAGATGGAGAGGAGGGTTCAGATGGGAATAAAATGATACTAACAGAGGGACGGGAGACGGCGGGTGCTGAGGGGCACATCAACGCAGAGGAAGAGGGGCAGCACGACAAGGAGGCAGCATCGCAGGTATTCGCATACCGAGAGACGCAGAGCATGGCAGAGACAGAGCGTCAAAATACTATGGAGGAGGTTCGTGTGGTCCCGGAGGCTGGAGTGGGGCACTACGAGGGAGATGCGCTGGAAACAGAAGAGGAGCAGAATGAGGAGGATACGGTACATCCGGCAGTCCGGATATTTTTGGGTTTAAGTCCGACGCGGGGACCAGGAACCGGGGTAGAGAGGCCATGGAGGGTGGCAGATGATGGGGCGCCTAGGGATACAGTGGATCTCAACAGGCAGAGGCGGCCTACCCTTCACCAGAGAACAGTGGAGAAGAATCTCGGCCAAGGCGGGGTGGCAGAAGCGTTTTGGCAGGTAGAGTGGGTCGAGGCAGAGACGGCAATACGGCGGATGCTGCATCGGACGAGTACAGTCCTGGTCGAACAAGGTGACAGGTTCGTCGAGGCCGAAAGCTGGGACATAAGCCCGGCAGAAGTAACACGTCGTCTCACGCTCTTAGCCCGAATGGTGACGCAGACGTTCTGCAACTTGGCGACCCGCAACAGCAGCATCAGTCGCGACGTGGCCGATCTGACCGTCCATTACTGCCGCGACGCCCTGGCCAACCTGGAAGAAGTCCGCCATGGAAACGAGGAACGGCGGCGCCAAGCTGAAACGGCGACCAGGTTTCGCGAGCAGGTGGACACGAGACTCTCCAACTTGCAAGAGAGTATCATAAGGGTGAGTGATCAGGTTCGCCAGTCGGGAGGGGGGATGGCGGAGGGCACGTTAAAGGGGGTGGAAGAGAGGTTGAGAGAGGTTCTGAGAGAAGACTCTGAGCAGCGGAACAGGGATAGACTGCAGGACGAGGAGCGGAGGCAGAAGGCCACGAGGAAGGAAGCAGACGCCGCAGAGAGACGGAAGAAGGAACGACAGCAGGAGGAAGAGCGTCGGCAGAAGGAGATGAGAGAGGGAATGAAGGAGATGAAGGAGGCGATGATGAAGGAGATGAAGGCAGAAATGAAGGAGATGAAGGATGGGATGGTAAACCAGATTGTGGGGAGGTTGAGCGCGGTTTTGAGAGAAGAATCCGAGCGGCAGAAGAAGGCGAGGCAAGAGGACGCGGTGCGGCGACAACAGCAGGACGCGAAGAGGAAACAAGTAGCGGACGACGAGGAGAGACAGAAGAAGAAACAACTGGACGAGCAATGGCGGAAGGAGGAGGAGGAGAAGAGGAAGGATGTAGAGGCCACAGAGCGGCGGAGGAAGAAGAAACATCAGGAGGAAGAGCGATGGCAGAAGGAGGTGGAGGCGGGAATGAAGGAGGTAATGGAGGCTATGAAGGAGATGAAGACGGGGATGAAGGGGTGGAAGGAGGGGATGCTAAGTGAGGTGGAAAAGCGGCTGTCAGTAGTTCTGAGATTGGACGCAGAGCGGCGGCAAAAGGAGGAGCAGGGTAGGAAGGCAACGAAGGGAGATCGGCCACAGAAGGAGGATGCGCAGAGGAAGGAGGCTGAGAAGGACGATCGGGAGGAAAGGGAGAAACAACAGGAGAAGGAGCACCGGCAAAATGAGGAGGCGCAGAGGAAGGAGGCAGAGGAAGGAGAGCGGGTGGAGAGGGCGAAACAGCAGGAGATGGCGCGCCTGCAGAAGGAGGAGAGGCAGAGGAAGGAGGCAGAGGAGGTAGAGCGGCATCAGAGGGCGAAACAGCAGGAATTGGACCGCCTGCAGAAGGAGCAGGAGCAGAAGAAGGAGGCAGAGGAGGCCGAGCGGCGGCAGCGGGCGAAAGAGCAGGAGATGGAGCGCATGCAGAAGGAGGAGGCGCAGAAGAAGGAGGAAGAGGAGGCCGAGCGGCAGCAGCGGGCGAAACAGCAGGAGATGGAGCGCCTGCAGAAGGAGGAGGCGCAGAAGAAGGAGGCAAAGGAGGCCGAGCGGCGTCAGCGAGCGAAACAGCAGGAGATGGAGCGCCTGCAGAAGGAGGAGGCGCAGAAGAAGGAGGTAGAGGAGGCCGAGCGGCGGCAGAGGGCGAAACAGCAGGAGATGGAGCGCCTGCAGAAGGCGGAGCAGTGCCGAGCAGAGAAGAGGGCCAGACTTGCATCCTTCGCGGAACAGCAGCGGCAACTGGAGGCAAAGGCAAAGGCGATGGTTGAAGAGACGGAACGATTGGCAAGGGAGATGGAAGAGGAGGATTTGACCATGCATGGGGAGGGGACCTGGAAGGGAGTCGAGGAGGAAATAGCTGAGGGCCTGGGGAGTTTGCTGTTGATTGAGAGCGGGGAGGCAAATGTAGCAGAGGGCGTGGCTATTGTTCCCGAACAGAACGTAGAGGTGTCCAGGAGGCGGCCTAGATAGGAGGACAGGGAGCCGGAGGGTCATGCGGCTAAGAGACGGCGTGCAGCTGGTATACAGGAGTTGATACCGATAATCCAAGGGGAAAAGAAGGGGATGAAGATCGACAAGTGTGACAACAGGAAAAACGCCGTAGTGGACGACAAGGGTAAGACTTTGGGTGTCTGCCTGCCGTTCAAGGGAAGCGGGTTCTCTCAACGGGGCGAGGGAGCTTTGCAGAAGTGGACGTCTGAGCAGACCGTCGGCGGCCGGAAGCGGAACCTCGGCTCTGACAAAACGGTGTGGGAGAGGGCATACACGGTCGCAGTCTGCTGGAAGTTCTACTTCCCGGATATTGACATGCAGGCATACGGCATGAATCCAAACCGTATTAACAAGTGGCGGGAAGACCTCGACTTCACAACGCGGCTTCCAAAAGGGGTGTGGAGCCTCATCAACGAACTCCACCTGGACAAACCGGACGGGTGAGTGTTTATGTGATGGACAAACCTCACAAGGAATCAGAGGCGCACAAGGAATCACACCCGCGAAGTTCGATGGTTCTGATCTTGCGACACTGGTGTCTTGTGCAGATTCTCACTCGTTCAAACCAACACGGCTCTTCGGCAGCAGCAGGGGGATGGCTTTCAGGTTGCTGCCTGCGCTGGTGTCAGAATAACTGCGTGGCAGAAGATGGTGGGAGGCGTGGAGGGTGAAAACGGCTATTCGACGGAAGAACACGCAGTCGGACTTGCCGCCACGTTGTCTGTAATGTGGGCCGCATCCACGAATGTGGACCAGACCCAGTGGGAGACGGGCGCAACAACAGCTGCACGTGGAACTTCTACTGCCATAGCATCTTCTGCTGCCAGATCGTCCACTGCTGCCACGGCCTCGTCGGCTGCCTCGTCATCTTCTGCGGCCGATGTGTCCTCTGCCGTCCTCGATGCCCTTGCCACGCTTGCAGCCTCGGTTGCGTGCGTTGCGGTTGAGGCGATGCGGTCGGTCAAGGATCAGGAGCATGACAAGGAAGCTTGGATTCTTCCCCTATCGAATGCGCTGCTGAAAGCACTTCCGGCAGAGTCGCGAGCGGCCGGGGATACGAAGCGGATGACGAGGGTGGTGGCAAAGGTGGTGACCTCTTGGTGCCTATGCAGCATGGCATCAAGAGGCCTTCGCCAGCACCAGGGCGTCTGCCTCGGAGTGCTGCAGAAGAAGTTGGGCAGCCGGGATACCACAACAGGGGCGGATAAGGAGAAGAAAACCAAGAAATCGTCCGCGAAAAAGAACGCGACGAAGGAGGCGTCGACGATGGAGAACACCGGCGCTGGCGGCCAGGAGTGATAGAGGCAGACGGGTTCTTTGGAGGTCTTGTTAGTACCGCAGTAGAAATAGATTTTCCTTTCCGTTTTTTTTTTTTCACCGTGTATAAATATAGGTGTTGTTGTATACAATACAATGAGAGATGTATTTTTGCTATGCAAACCTTCACTACACTCGCAAAAATTGTAGGGCGCGTATGGAGTTGGCAATGCAGCCGATAGAACTCGCCATCAAAGGGAGGGTCAGCCGAATAAATAATTGACGGCAGGACGGCCTTCTACGACACTTAATCTAACATTAATACTCGGCTTCTACGAGGAGGTAGAAGTATGGGGCTAAACAATCGCATAACATCTTGTCTTGGGGAGCACCTTGTTAAGAGGCGTATACGGTATTCCTATGCATACCAAAACGTATACAGAACCTTGCCGAATGTATAACATCGATGTGTGCTTCAATGCATAGACCAGAAAAACATTCTACGAAAACAGCGCGTCCAGGGAAGAAGGTGGCATACAGGCCCCAAATCGGGCTTCTACAGAGACATACAAGTGCCTGTACTGCATATTCAGTACAACCGGAATGAAGTACCCAAATAACTAAACCGCCCCACCCTTAAGGTACATGCCCCCTCATTTCTGCTCCTAGCGTTTCGACGCTTCGCCCTTCGCCTTTTCCCGTTCCGCCTTCTTCGCAGCAGCGGTTCGTTGTTTCTCCTCTTCCGCCTTCTCCTGCGCCATGTGTTCCTTGTGGATCTCCTCCCACTCATCATCCCCAAACAGCGAAGTTGCCCACTCCTGGTCGCGAAGGCCCTTCTTGACTAACAGCCAGCCCACTCTGCGTTGCGCCAAGTCGTTGACGGTCCTATTTTCCATCGACGAACCAGTCTTCTGTTTCTTGATAGGCGGAGTCTCATGCGGCACCGCCAGGCCGTTGGTGAATTCCGTGAAGTTGCACAGGAGTAAAACCTCGTCCAGCAACTTAATGGCCGTTGCGGTCGCCGCCTCGGAGCTGTCTTTTCTTAGCGTCTCCACGGAAACCATGACACGATGCACGCGACGCATCTTTCGCTCGCATGCACCCACAGCCATCCCGGGCGTACCTTTGTAAGCGAACCGGGAATATGCGGTGATGAAGCTGGAATTCTTGTCCTTCTTCTTATACCGGTCGAACTCTGCAAAGACTTCGCGCAGTGACATGCCGCCCATGATGAGGCTTGGCTGCACCCACACTTTCCAAGCTGCAGCAATAGTGGTGGCTTCGCGCCAAGACACAACGACCACGACGAAGAATTCTTCCACGGCAACTGGTGCTTTGGATGCGTCCGTTGCCTGCTTTGCTCCTGTTCCCGCGCTCTTCGACGATCCGTCGATCTCTGCAGAGGTGTTTGCCGCGACATCCCTGGCCGCAACAGACCTCTTGTATGCTTCGAACTCTGCAATGACCCGAGCCTTGTCCTCTCGCTCAGCGGCGAGTTTCTCCCTCAGTTCAGCGTTCTCCATCGCCAACTGCATTTCACGTCCTCTCAAAATCCCAAGCTCCTCCCTGAGCATATTGGCGGTGAGGTGCATCTTCTGCATCTTCTCTTCTGCGGTCGTGCGAAAGATAGCGTCCTGCAGAAACCAACACGGCAGAACTCAGCATGAACGAATAACTCCCTCTCTCTACCACTAATAGCAGGCACTTACTGCTTTGGCGGTGGTTTGGCCGGTTGCCCGAAGCTTCTCGCCCTGGAAGTGAGAGATAGCGACCAGGTACGCCCACTTTTGGAACAGCGGGTGGTTGCACAAGGGGCTCATCTGCACATATGGATGCCTCTCGCAATTGCACCGCGGGTTTCTCACGCCGTGCTGATGGCAGAACGCCCACATCATAGCCAGATCATGTGCAACAACGAGGCGTCCGATGCTCGCGAGGGTCTCAAGGAACCTCGCCCCCGCATAGTGCCTCTTGAGCGGATCGGACTGCGCAGCGTTCCATTCTTCGACCTGACGGGACGAGTATGCAGGAGAAATGCGACGGTTCATAATTGCGTATCAAAATTAAGTTACGAACGCGAAGACTGTACACTAGCACGTACCTTCTTCCAACCCTCTTCGACCCAGGGGAAAATGTGAAGCCTTAAGAGATCCAAGAGCTGCAACCACTCATCCTTCTCCTTATCCTTATGCCGCGGAAGCTTGGCGCGGGCTCTGCCGATGTAGTAGTCTCCACGATCCCCGCTGATTCCTGCGAGCAGCCAAACCGACTTGAACGGAATGCCGAACACATAACACCTCCGCAACCCCCCCTGCGCCCATCCGCCCAGAGTGCCGATATCGTTGTCGGAGCAACCGTCGTCATGGAGTTGTTGCGCTCCGGATCTACGGAATGCATGTGTCACCTTGCTCAGAATCCATCTCGCCTTCGTCATGGCCCACTTAATCCAGGTGTTATGCGTTTTGTAGTGCATCTTGTCTTGCTTCTGCTTTCCCTGGTCGCCCTTCTTCAAAGAAAAGAAGAGGTGCGCTTTAGTCCACAAGATCGGTTCAAAAAAGTCGAGAGGCTCGACGATACCAGGGCCGTAGCGCAGAGGAACGAGGTCGTAGATGAAATGAAGCCACAGGAACAGATGGCCCATTCCGCAGAGCCGCCAGTCCCTATGCCTTGCAAGAAACTGATGACTCAGCTTGTTGTTGGGGTTGGTCTTCGACTTCCTGGAAACAACGACGAGTACGAAAACGTCAAGATAGTTGTCGAGGTGTGATGTGCTCCGCGTCATGCGGACAAACAGGTTCCCAAGGCGAATCTTTCGAATGCTGCACCCTCTTCCGAGAAATTGGTGTCCGAGGTGCATCATAACCGGGAATTGCAGAGCCTTCCAGAGAGGAAGCGAGATTTGTGACGGAGGCGTCCGCCACCAGATCTCTAGGAGCTCTTTTCGCAGAACAGTAAGATGCAGCGTCCTATACTGGCTACCCGTATAGCAATCACCAATTGATCCACGGGTTTGATCTCGACCATCCCTGCATAGAATAGCACAGTAATTATGTAAACCATGTAGAACAAGAGTCACACAAACAGAATGCACACGTATATGTTACTCACGCGACTTGCTCGTCGTTCAGATCCTTCAGCTTTACTTTGAAATAATCCCGAGCATCCTTGATCCAGTCCTTGGTCAGTGTGATGGAGAAGCCGTAGAGCCTCGCCTCGCATCTGGCAAGGCATCCCATTGCGTTCATCTTTGCCTTGATCATTGAAGCTGTGCACCCCTTTGCCTCCTTCCCCACATATTTCTCGACGTCTGGCCGCATTTTTCCACGCAAAAACTTTGCCTGCTCGTCAGTTTCGCAGAAGAGATACTCGATGTATCGGCCGAGCCTCCATTCTGTGACTCGCGGCCCGTGCAGATGAATCTGCCACTCGTCAGAGCTGCACGACCACCCATCATTTCCCAAGTTATTGCTCATATGAAACCCAACTTCGTCGTGCAGAGAGGGAGCAAGGCCATCTGCCACAGGGACATCTACCATAGTTGCCATGAAGATTATCACCCACCACTTGAAGTGTAGAAAGTGGAAACAATAGTGCCTTCTCGTGCCGGCCTCTATCAGTCGAAGCGGGATTGTTGAACGCCGGATCCTGCTCTCCTTTTCCGCAACGTCGGTCTGCCGCTGCGCATTTCCGGGGGCCGCAGCCTGCTCGACATGGCTCGTAGAATCGGGAGGTCGTCGTCGTCCCGGCGATGATTCTCCCTCCTCTTCTGCGTCAGAGTGATCTCCATCCTCCTCGTACCGTTCTTCGGGCGCACCGGGTCGTGGGCTCACTCCATCGCCTCCCGGCCCTTCACTCCCTTCAACACTCCCCTGGACTTGAATCTGGACGGATGGTTCGTAGATACCACCCTGGAACAAATCCTCCTCGGTCGCCTCAAACTCGCTATCGTTCTCGCGATCCTGTGCGTAGTCTTGGTCAGTATTTTCATCGTCCTCCAGGTCTTCTTCTCCATCCTATGCGCCCTGGGCTGCCATGGGGCGAGAGTGGACCGAGCTGTCGGCCATTCACAGATTCCTAATTTATTACCTAGCAACCGAGACTAGACGAAAGAATCGGATGGTGTCAGCCGCGGTAGGTGGTAACGATTCGCAAGTGTGCAGATAACATAGGCAGAATGCTTAGTGGGCTAAGCACAGAAGTCGTAAGAGAGTCTGTGCTTCAGGCGTATGCACATTGGTCTTCGAACACTGCCTACAACTTGCGTATACAGGGTCGCCTGACTGTCCCGTAACGTATAGCTCTGTCACCTTTTGTTCTACCGCTTTAATTCTTTACAACGAAACAACGAAAATAAGTTCCTACCATTATACGGATATAATAATCTACGGAACCCTTATGCTTGTACATAACTTTCGTGGGTTCGACGATATTATGGATTGGGAGCGAATACTTCTACCAGTAAACAAGCCTAACGTCGAAGATGGTCGGCTACAAGAGCGGGCGACCTACGACAATTGTTCCGGGCAACTACAAACAGTTCTACCGACAAAATATTCTACCACACAGATCTGCGCCTAAATAAGCGACCTAACAAGTGTAACTGCTGTTATCCTAACCGGGCTGACCCTAAATAAAAAAGCCCACTCTATACGACCTACGTCACTACGTCGATGCCAATGTTCTGCCAGTGGGCCAAGCAGGCTTAAAAGACTACGCTGGTGGACTAACAGGTGCTGGATGAAATTATCTCAAAGAGCTTGCGGAGCATGAAATGCAAATGAAAAGGAGCAAATGAGCACGAAAACATCCATTCATACCCATCCACCACACACACAGAAGCCCGTGTCCACATTTGGTCATCCAACCCAGGGCTGGATGATTCTCCCGCCAAAAAATAAAGTTGCCTACACGACGCTTATTGGCTCTTGCAGCCTTGGGACTCTGACAACAACTGTTGCCATGGCCACGTGTGCAGAACACCTACAGTTTGGTAACAATGACTATAAAACACAATGAGCAAACGTAGGATGCTACACTTGTACTCATGTTATTCATAAAACACATAAAATCAATGGTATAAAGGAACACACCTGCTGCAGCTTTAAGGCTGGAGCCATTAAAAAAAACCGAGTTAAAGCATATGACCACGCAGAAAAGACCAGTTGGTCGCAACCGGCCATGCGACCGGCGGTCGTCACTTGTCGGCCAAAGAGTTACGATGGCGAAAAATGTCATACCCATGAAATCACTGGCACAAAGGGTCACGGGCAGGTTGGTTGGAACACATCTTTCACGGTCAGGTGGGCGCGGAATTGTGAGCGGCTGGCCTTGTCGTATGCGGCGGAGCCTTGCGCCCAAGCCCTTCGGAATCCGGAGCACACGGATCCAAGGCCTCGGATCATGGGGCAAACGCACTCGGAACTCCGCCACAACGTACGGTAGTAAGAGTCCCGGCGTGCATTCAATCGCGCAAGGCCCCACAGCGAATGGCTCAACGCTGGTGATTGGATAGCGCTGCTCCTTGCGAGCGGCGCAGCTCCCCCGGTACGACATACGGCACATGGATTATTGAGTCAAGTGTTTGACGGCTGGGTCGGAGTTCGTAGAGGCAAGGCTGTTTGACATTCGCCAACACGAACACGATCAGACCCGTTACAAACAATATTCGCCTTCCAAGGGCGTCAGAAGGAGCAGAAACCACGGTAAATATTCATACAAATTGATCACAGCTCCCATGATCACGTTATCCTTCCCACCCCCATCCCCCCTAAGTTCCCCTTTTCTTTTCCAAAAAATAGGTTTTGAGACGGGCTTGAGAAGATAATGTTTCAGGGATGGAATACAGGAAACATTACATGGGCTGTTGAACAAACATTTCATGATATCAGCCGTCTAGGGACGACACCTACGGTGAGTGCGATCATGTCACGGGGTGCGTGGGAGCAGGCAGCGTGCCGACGGCATCGACGAGGCCGAGCTGCAGAATGCGCGGGGGCGGGCGCGCAGGGCGCGGCAGCACGCGGCCCTTCTTGGCAAACCAGTGTGGCTTGAGCAGCGCTCGCAGGCCCAGCGCGTTGTAGTGCACCCATGTCACCCGCCCCCCTGCTGTCTCCACTGCCCTGCGCACCGACTCTGATGCGCGGCTCACCTGAAAGAGCAAGAGAGGAAGAGGGGGGGGGACGGGCAGGGGAACAGGATAGGATGGAGGAGGGGTGGTGCGAGACTGGTGGGCGACGGAGGCATGGTGGCGGCATGAGAACAGGGCGGAGGCATGGTGGCGGCATGAGAACAGGGCGGAGGCATGGTGGCGGCATGAGAACAGGGCGGAGGCATGGTGGCGGCATGAGAACAGGGCGGAGGCATGGTGGCGGCATGAGAACAGGGCGGAGGCATGGTGGCGGCATGAGAACAGGGCGGAGGCATGGTGGCGGCATGAGAACAGGGCGGAGGCATGGTGGCGGCATGAGAACAGGGCGGAGGCATGGTGGCGGCATGAGAACAGGGCGGAGGCATGGTGGCGGCATGAGAACAGGGCGGAGGCATGGTGGCGGCATGAGAACAGGGCGGAGGCATGGTGGCGGCATGAGAACAGGGCGGAGGCATGGTGGCGGCATGAGAACAGGGCGGAGGCATGGTGGCGGCATGAGAACAGGACGGAGGCATGGTGGCGGCATGAGAACAGGACGGAGGCATGGTGGCGGCATGAGAACAGGACGGAGGCATGGTGGCGGCATGAGAACAGGACGGAGGCATGGTGGCGGCATGAGAACAGGACGGAGGCATGGTGGCGGCATGAGAACAGGACGGAGGCATGGTGGCGGCATGAGAACAGGACGGAGGCATGGTGGCGGCATGAGAACAGGACGGAGGCATGGTGGCGGCATGAGAACAGGACGGAGGCATGGTGGCGGCATGAGAACAGGACGGAGGCATGGTGGCGGCATGAGAACAGGACGGAGGCATGGTGGCGGCATGAGAACAGGACGGAGGCATGGTGGCGGCATGAGAACAGGACGGAGGCATGGTGGCGCATGAGAAAGGGAGGCCTGGTGGAGGCATGAGAACAGGACGGAGGCATGGTGGCGGCATGAGAACAGGACGGAGGCATGGTGGCGGCATGAGAACAGGACGGAGGCATGGTGGCGGCATGAGAACAGGACGGAGGCATGGTGGCGGCATGAGAACAGGACGGAGGCATGGTGGCGGCATGAGAACAGGACGGAGGCATGGTGGCGGCATGAGAACAGGACGGAGGCATGGTGGCGGCATGAGAACAGGACGGAGGCATGGTGGCGGCATGAGAACAGGACGGAGGCATGGTGGCGGCATGAGAACAGGGCGGAGGCATGGTGGCGGCATGAGAACAGGGCGGAGGCATGGTGGCGGCATGAGAACAGGGCGGAGGCATGGTGGCGGCATGAGAACAGGACGGAGGCATGGTGGCGGCATGAGAACAGGACGGAGGCATGGTGGCGGCATGAGAATGGCGGCATGAGAACAGGACGGAGGCATGGTGGCGGCATGAGAACAGGACGGAGGCATGGTGGCGGCATGAGAACAGGACGGAGGCATGGTGGCGGCATGAGAACAGGACGGAGGCATGGTGGCGGCATGAGAACAGGACGGAGGCATGGTGGCGGCATGAGAACAGGACGGAGGCATGGTGGCGGCATGAGAACAGGACGGAGGCATGGTGGCGGCATGAGAACAGGACGGAGGCATGGTGGCGGCATGAGAACAGGACGGAGGCATGGTGGCGGCATGAGAACAGGACGGAGGCATGGTGGCGGCATGAGAACAGGACGGAGGCATGGTGGCGGCATGAGAACAGGACGGAGGCATGGTGGCGGCATGAGAACAGGACGGAGGCATGGTGGCGGCATGAGAACAGGACGGAGGCATGGTGGCGGCATGAGAACAGGACGGAGGCATGGTGGCGGCATGAGAACAGGACGGAGGCATGGTGGCGGCATGAGAACAGGACGGAGGCATGGTGGCGGCATGAGAACAGGACGGAGGCATGGTGGCGGCATGAGAACAGGACGGAGGCATGGTGGCGGCATGAGAACAGGACGGAGGCATGGTGGCGGCATGAGAACAGGACGGAGGCATGGTGGCGGCATGAGAACAGGACGGAGGCATGGTGGCGGCATGAGAACAGGACGGAGGCATGGTGGCGGCATGAGAACAGGACGGAGGCATGGTGGCGGCATGAGAACAGGACGGAGGCATGGTGGCGGCATGAGAACAGGACGGAGGCATGGTGGCGGCATGAGAACAGGACGGAGGCATGGTGGCGGCATGAGAACAGGACGGAGGCATGGTGGCGGCATGAGAACAGGACGGAGGCATGGTGGCGGCATGAGAACAGGACGGAGGCATGGTGGCGGCATGAGAACAGGACGGAGGCATGGTGGCGGCATGAGAACAGGACGGAGGCATGGTGGCGGCATGAGAACAGGACGGAGGCATGGTGGCGGCATGAGAACAGGACGGAGGCATGGTGGCGGCATGAGAACAGGACGGAGGCATGGTGGCGGCATGAGAACAGGACGGAGGCATGGTGGCGGCATGAGAACAGGACGGAGGCATGGTGGCGGCATGAGAACAGGACGGAGGCATGGTGGCGGCATGAGAACAGGACGGAGGCATGGTGGCGGCATGAGAACAGGACGGAGGCATGGTGGCGGCATGAGAACAGGACGGAGGCATGGTGGCGGCATGAGAACAGGACGGAGGCATGGTGGCGGCATGAGAACAGGACGGAGGCATGGTGGCGGCATGAGAACAGGACGGAGGCATGGTGGCGGCATGAGAACAGGACGGAGGCATGGTGGCGGCATGAGAACAGGACGGAGGCATGGTGGCGGCATGAGAACAGGACGGAGGCATGGTGGCGGCATGAGAACAGGACGGAGGCATGGTGGCGGCATGAGAACAGGACGGAGGCATGGTGGCGGCATGAGAACAGGACGGAGGCATGGTGGCGGCATGAGAACAGGACGGAGGCATGGTGGCGGCATGAGAACAGGACGGAGGCATGGTGGCGGCATGAGAACAGGACGGAGGCATGGTGGCGGCATGAGAACAGGACGGAGGCATGGTGGCGGCATGAGAACAGGACGGAGGCATGGTGGCGGCATGAGAACAGGACGGAGGCATGGTGGCGGCATGAGAACAGGACGGAGGCATGGTGGCGGCATGAGAACAGGACGGAGGCATGGTGGCGGCATGAGAACAGGACGGAGGCATGGTGGCGGCATGAGAACAGGACGGAGGCATGGTGGCGGCATGAGAACAGGACGGAGGCATGGTGGCGGCATGAGAACAGGACGGAGGCATGGTGGCGGCATGAGAACAGGACGGAGGCATGGTGGCGGCATGAGAACAGGACGGAGGCATGGTGGCGGCATGAGAACAGGACGGAGGCATGGTGGCGGCATGAGAACAGGACGGAGGCATGGTGGCGGCATGAGAACAGGACGGAGGCATGGTGGCGGCATGAGAACAGGACGGAGGCATGGTGGCGGCATGAGAACAGGACGGAGGCATGGTGGCGGCATGAGAACAGGACGGAGGCATGGTGGCGGCATGAGAACAGGACGGAGGCATGGTGGCGGCATGAGAACAGGACGGAGGCATGGTGGCGGCATGAGAACAGGACGGAGGCATGGTGGCGGCATGAGAACAGGACGGAGGCATGGTGGCGGCATGAGAACAGGACGGAGGCATGGTGGCGGCATGAGAACAGGACGGAGGCATGGTGGCGGCATGAGAACAGGACGGAGGCATGGTGGCGGCATGAGAACAGGACGGAGGCATGGTGGCGGCATGAGAACAGGACGGAGGCATGGTGGCGGCATGAGAACAGGACGGAGGCATGGTGGCGGCATGAGAACAGGACGGAGGCATGGTGGCGGCATGAGAACAGGACGGAGGCATGGTGGCGGCATGAGAACAGGACGGAGGCCATGGTGGCGGCATGAGAACAGGACGGAGGCATGGTGGCGGCATGAGAACAGGACGGAGGCATGGTGGCGGCATGAGAACAGGACGGAGGCATGGTGGCGGCATGAGAACAGGACGGAGGCATGGTGGCGGCATGAGAACAGGACGGAGGCATGGTGGCGGCATGAGAACAGGACGGAGGCATGGTGGCGGCATGAGAACAGGACGGAGGCATGGTGGCGGCATGAGAACAGGACGGAGGCATGGTGGCGGCATGAGAACAGGACGGAGGCATGGTGGCGGCATGAGAACAGGACGGAGGCATGGTGGCGGCATGAGAACAGGACGGAGGCATGGTGGCGGCATGAGAACAGGACGGAGGCATGGTGGCGGCATGAGAACAGGACGGAGGCATGGTGGCGGCATGAGAACAGGACGGAGGCATGGTGGCGGCATGAGAACAGGACGGAGGCATGGTGGCGGCATGAGAACAGGACGGAGGCATGGTGGCGGCATGAGAACAGGACGGAGGCATGGTGGCGGCATGAGAACAGGACGGAGGCATGGTGGCGGCATGAGAACAGGACGGAGGCATGGTGGCGGCATGAGAACAGGACGGAGGCATGGTGGCGGCATGAGAACAGGACGGAGGCATGGTGGCGGCATGAGAACAGGACGGAGGCATGGTGGCGGCATGAGAACAGGACGGAGGCATGGTGGCGGCATGAGAACAGGACGGAGGCATGGTGGCGGCATGAGAACAGGACGGAGGCATGGTGGCGGCATGAGAACAGGACGGAGGCATGGTGGCGGCATGAGAACAGGACGGAGGCATGGTGGCGGCATGAGAACAGGACGGAGGCATGGTGGCGGCATGAGAACAGGACGGAGGCATGGTGGCGGCATGAGAACAGGACGGAGGCATGGTGGCGGCATGAGAACAGGACGGAGGCATGGTGGCGGCATGAGAACAGGACGGAGGCATGGTGGCGGCATGAGAACAGGACGGAGGCATGGTGGCGGCATGAGAACAGGACGGAGGCATGGTGGCGGCATGAGAACAGGACGGAGGCATGGTGGCGGCATGAGAACAGGACGGAGGCATGGTGGCGGCATGAGAACAGGACGGAGGCATGGTGGCGGCATGAGAACAGGACGGAGGCATGGTGGCGGCATGAGAACAGGACGGAGGCATGGTGGCGGCATGAGAACAGGACGGAGGCATGGTGGCGGCATGAGAACAGGACGGAGGCATGGTGGCGGCATGAGAACAGGACGGAGGCATGGTGGCGGCATGAGAACAGGACGGAGGCATGGTGGCGGCATGAGAACAGGACGGAGGCATGGTGGCGGCATGAGAACAGGACGGAGGCATGGTGGCGGCATGAGAACAGGACGGAGGCATGGTGGCGGCATGAGAACAGGACGGAGGCATGGTGGCGGCATGAGAACAGGACGGAGGCATGGTGGCGGCATGAGAACAGGACGGAGGCATGGTGGCGGCATGAGAACAGGACGGAGGCATGGTGGCGGCATGAGAACAGGACGGAGGCATGGTGGCGGCATGAGAACAGGACGGAGGCATGGTGGCGGCATGAGAACAGGACGGAGGCATGGTGGCGGCATGAGAACAGGACGGAGGCATGGTGGCGGCATGAGAACAGGACGGAGGCATGGTGGCGGCATGAGAACAGGACGGAGGCATGGTGGCGGCATGAGAACAGGACGGAGGCATGGTGGCGGCATGAGAACAGGACGGAGGCATGGTGGCGGCATGAGAACAGGACGGAGGCATGGTGGCGGCATGAGAACAGGACGGAGGCATGGTGGCGGCATGAGAACAGGACGGAGGCATGGTGGCGGCATGAGAACAGGACGGAGGCATGGTGGCGGCATGAGAACAGGACGGAGGCATGGTGGCGGCATGAGAACAGGACGGAGGCATGGTGGCGGCATGAGAACAGGACGGAGGCATGGTGGCGGCATGAGAACAGGACGGAGGCATGGTGGCGGCATGAGAACAGGACGGAGGCATGGTGGCGGCATGAGAACAGGACGGAGGCATGGTGGCGGCATGAGAACAGGACGGAGGCATGGT